ATAAATCAATTATTGTAGGATATCTTATTGAAAAAATTTCCTTTGTTTTTATCTCTTGGTTAGGTTTTACTATTATATCTTTATAACCATGYTTTTTTTGTTAAGGCATATTTGGATTATCTATAACTTTGTGTTAAGTAGTGTACSAGAACCATGAGAGGGATTTCATAATTTAGAACATAATCAGTTTTTAGACAATAATTAACTTAATCATTAAATTATTTAATTATAAAAATTAGTTTTGTCAATAAAAATTTTGTTTAAATATTACTTTGAATAAAACTGCCAGAAAACTTGTTAGGTTTACTAGTAGAAACAATAAGAACATGACATGAGTAAGAGTTTATGGTTGAACCTTGAAAACTCAGTTTACAAGTTACAGAAGTTCTTTTTCTATTTTGGAGATAAGCTCATTTAAGAGATTCTCTTACATTTTCAGAAGCATTAGATATTTCCTTATGTTAGCTATTTACTGGACTTGTTAGTTAACTTAAAAAAGCAAAACTTAGTATGCACTAAACCAAATATGTGGGATTTTAGAATCTTTCCAGAATCACATTTTTAAAGATACTTTTTTTTTTTTTTTTAAGGGAATTCAAGTTTGGACCAATGCTAAGGAATGCTTTAGCAAGATGTAATCCTATGAAATGACTTTTTCTTCAATCAAAGTGCCCCAAAACAAAGCACAAGTAAATAAAAGAAATTTAAGTTGCTACCCTGTATACTTAAAAATATACAATAAGTTGAATCAGTTCAGCTTTATTTTAACTGATTATAGTTGTGTTCCTATAGCACAAAAATGATGTATTTTAATCAAGATTAAATATTATAATTTGAGGTTTTGGGGACTGGTGCTGATTCCAAAAAAAGTTAATTTAATAATATATACCAACAGATTATTCATCAGGCTTCTGAACCAATGATTGAACGTTAAGGCGTTAGTTAATTTCTAGACGTTCCTTTCAATGCCAACTCTTTCAGATCTGTTCATGCAGGAAGTTCTTTTCCTAAGATTGGATTCCTATATTTACTTGGTGAAACCCACTAACCTGTCATAAGGGGGCATTTTCTCTTGCCTTATAGTTGAGCTGTTTGGTTTGACAAAGCTCAGCAGAAATTTATTGTGAAATCTAGGTTTTTCTTCCACATTTGTTGATGCCCCTGTAACACATCATACACTAGAAAATGCCTTCAGTTTGTGTTTTACCAGAATTTTGATACTGGTCAGAAATTTTATACTGCCAACAAATAAGTCTCAACTTCTCAGATATAGAATGGAATACATTCTTTTGGTCCAGGAATTGCTATATAGAAAATTTTAATTGAGTAGTAGTATTCTCAACAATTCTTAACCTCAGTCATGAGCCCAATTTCCTTTGCTTGGCTCTCTGCACATGGCATTTCAGGGTACAAGATGTAGCATTTCCATGTATAAGATAAATGTGGTCAACACATGAGCTCATACCTTTATCATTAACAGCCTTCATTTCTATTGCTTGGCTATAATTTTTGTAAAGATAAATTATATTGCTTTTTTATGTATGTTTTGTGGTATATGTTCAGAGGCCAAGCACCCTCATTTTCGTAGCTTTGCAGAATCTTAAATGTGTACTCATTATTTCTAATGATGTTTTAAAAAATYCCCATACCATTCAACATTTGACTTTTTTACATGTTTAAAATGTTGCTGGATTTTTGTGCTGTTTGCCAAACTTATATAATAAATAAATGAAGTATTGTGCTGAGTTTCAGAGGTTTTTTTGTTTGTTATTTTAAAAAGATGATCCATGTACATTAATATGTGATGATCTGTGGAAATAATATGCCATGTTATACTTTAAAGTGTTTAATTGTATAAATGTGTTTTATACCCAAATGCTGTTTAAAAAAAAAAAAATCCTGTGATGAGATCTGATTTTTAAATTTYTTTTTTCCTCCTCAGTACTGGAGATTGAATTTTGGGATGCTTTACATAATTAGTGTGTAAAGCATCCCAAAATTCAACCTTTTTTATTTTTTGTTTTGAGACAGGGTCTCAGCTAAGTTGCTTCAAACTTTAAATCCTCCTGCCTCAGCCTCCCTGGGAGGCTGAGGGATTACAAATTTATACTATCATGCCCAGCTTACTTCTCTTTTTTAAATAAAATTGGTAGAAGCAAACGTCATCTGCAGGTATATACTTTTGAATCCACTGAATTGTATCATCTCT